TGTTTTGCCTGAAATCTAAAACAGATTTTAGTAGATTTATAGTTGATTGCGTACAATGTTTTTTTTTCGTTTGAATGGGTTTTTTCTTACATAATTATATTATACTCTTTGTTTTTAATCGGACTCGAAATATTGATAAAATTGCGAATTTTCGGGGTGAGTCACCCGAACGTAAGTATATTTAATTTTTCGTTTTGCTGAAGCAGTTGGTGTTCTATATCTGTGTTTGACAGTTTTTATATTAGAACCAGAACTCGATGACCTAAATATTAACGTATTGGATGATATAAAAATGTTTAAAAAAAAAAAAAAAAAAAAAAAAATCAAAATTACATTGAAAATGCCTATTTTACCGTACAAAACTATTAAAGTACATAAGAGCACACTATTGATATACTATGAAATACTATATAGCTCAAACAATTTATTTCAATGTCGAGGATATCATTACGTGGTTAATATTTTGATTATATGCGGAAGAGACGGCGAAATGTATAGGCAAAACAGGTACGCGAACGCCGTCGGCCGAGTTTTTACACGACTTATTTTTATTCAAATGTTTTTTTACCGTCCAATTTGATACGCATGATAACTCCGGCATTATTTAATTTATACGTACCCATTATTATAGGCAATCGCCATGATTCGTTTTCAAATTAAACACGAAAATGATTACGAAATGCGGATATACAATTTAATTGTCTGTGTGTGTGTGTGTGTGTGTGTGTGTGTGTGGTGGGGGGGGGGAGCACAGCGAAAATAATAATATATCAAGTAGCGCGCGGTAGGTAGGTACACGCGCCCATATTCGTTTCCTTTCGGGAATAAAGTACAGTTTTAAGGTTAGGTACATTATTCAATCGAGATAGGTAAGTGTACGCGTATATTTGGATAATCAAAGAACACCCCCTTGACTTTTGTAAAACATAAAACACGCGCCGATCTGAAACGGCAATATATACCCCAACCTATATAATATACTCGAAGTTCTCGAAAGTATAACATTTTGTTTTATGGGTTTCGATTTTCTTTCTCGTTTATACATTTCGAATTTTTATAACGCAGTCCATAATGAAATACATTATTATATTTCTACGCGCGCGCGCGTGTATATAAATATATATATACATACAGTAATGCATATCATTTAACGTCTCAAACGACACATTTCGCAACCTTTAAATTTTGGATTGATATTGCTTTTCCGTTCGAAAAAAAATAATTAGAGACGCAAAATTCCAAGCTGTTTTAATATTTTAAAACAAACTCGAATAACTTATTATTTCGCTATTTCAGATGTTTGATTTTGTTCTACACGGGTACCGCGAAATACTAATAAATTTACAGTGTCGTGAAAATGTAATATAATTACGATAATAGACGAATAATGAATAAGCCATCGAACCGTGTTATGCGTCGATTCATTGAAATATTTGTTGAGATTATACTGGAAGACTATTTTATTATTTTTTTGATTTTAATAAAATTAAAAAAAAAAAAAAAAAACGCTGAATGTATAATTATTGAAGAAATTAAAATTTTTAGTTTCTGAGCGTGGCTATAGGAATGTAATGTATTGGCTTTACTGCGATGTGTAATTTATTCATTTTTTTGTGTTTGCAAAAAAATGTCTATTAAAAAACTTTCTTCGGCCATCGAATACAGTGTTTTTTCTATAGGAAATTTTTACTTGCACCAACATTGAGACTGTAATTTTTTAGATTCCAAGCGTAGTGAGGGAGCTTTTAGTTTTATAATGCTGTTTATTTCTTTCATTTTTTTTTCTTCTTCTAGACTGTGGACACGGTTTTTCAAGGTAAACTTGCTCCAATTTTTACGTGTAACAAAATTTATGAAACCTCAGGTTATCTAGATTGTACTTTTGATTTTCGATGCCATTTTTTAAATAAAAACCCTTAAGTGGGAAAAAGTGTTTTCATTATTTTATAAAAACACGAACGACGTTTTCCACCAGAAAAATTTTTATAATCGAAAAATCACAAGACCCCTTTTTTGTTGCCTTTTTGATGTACTTCCTTATGGTATCATTTTCAAAACTTTCGAGTTTTAAAGGAATTTTAAACTTTGTAAGTTTTTTGCTGTAATTCGGTTATTAATACACGTAAAGACTCGAAAACTTGGTAATAACATTTATATTGGACTTACCTAGACGTGGTAAAATTTCCAAAATCATCGGATGTTTTGATTTCATTTTTTAATAAGCATTTTAAAATCAAATTAAAACGAAAATCGCCAAAAAAACTAAATAAACACGGCACTTAAAATGATGTATTACCTAATTGCTCTCAGTATCGTCTTTTGTCAAGCAATGGTTTATCTTTGCTTACGGATATAAATAAAATAACCTTTCGTATCCTACCTTCCCAAATTCTCACTTACACCAGTGGCCAGTATCAGCTCGGTTTTTTTTTTATCTTCCCTCTAGTTTTCTCAGTAATCGGATAAAAACGTAGGAAAACCGAGATAATTTGCTCATTTTTTGGTTTCTGTTATTTAAATTTTTCAAATGAAATATAGCAAGGCGAAAAATCTGCGTCTATTAAGGCATGACATAAAAAAATCGGAGCGTTATTATTGACCGAAAATTTTTTTTCGGAGAATAAAAACATATACGTTTTTTTAAAGAAATACTAATAGTTTCATCGCTACACTCCGAATCTGAACAAACAAACATGAACGAAATCCAAATAAAACTCTCTCTCTCGAAAATTGTATTTTCGGTGTGGTACATTTCGTGTTATTTTTATTATAGTAATCTATTAATGTTAGTATGTATAGAAGCGATACGTCGTTATAAAGAAATAATATAATCTTTTGACCTTTCCGAAGGTTTTCGGCGAAGCTGGTTGGCTATAACCTATTCTATCGTGTACCGCACCATGGAAAATGAAATACTCTTTTATAATTATTTCCGAACGCGCTGCCGTAAATAAATATTATAAATTGTTAGGTATAAATAAGACGAGCCGGGGAAATTATGTTTTCAGGTATTGCAGAGATTAGCCGAGAGTAAACGTCGCCTCGTCATTTCGCACAAAATAATAAAAACAAAATGTCGAAAATTGCCATTATTCAATAAAAAATTATATACATAGGTATTGTAATTTAGTGAAGTTTTTCAAATCATTAATAATATATCCACTTTAATCTTAATAAAAATATACAATTTATTACCCAGGTCAGAAATGGTTCTGCAGTTATATAGTTGTATATATAAAGTTATGTATATATTATTTTCATAGAGAGAAGGTTTTTGAACTATCCGAAATAACGTTTCAAAACAATTATATTTTGTGAGATTTGTATAGTAGAAAGATATTTTAATTCTTTTTAATTCAAAGCAAAACAAAGAACTTGTTGATTTTAGTTTTATGTTTTCAATTTTAAGCCCGGTACGTGTTATTTTATCTATGTATAATTTTGTTGATTGTACTATGATATACACGATTTATTTTATTTTTTTCATTTTATTTATGTTTGTTAAAATAATTTTTTAACAGAAACCTCGTTTCAATCGAAAAAACGAAAAGACAAATATGTTTATTGCATTTTATAACTGGAATGTTTATTCAGAAAGTAATTGTTTGATTTTCCTGCAGGTTTTCATAATAATTGGGAAAAAACGGAAACATATTTTCGGTAACCCAGAGTTAATAATCGCATTGTTAATTCAAGTGTTGTTTTTTATTTTCTGACAGCAAATTTTACATATAATGTACGAATTGTTTATTTTTTCGGACTTAATTATTATTTAGGAAACCATTATCGACAGAACCGGAAAAAATTGTAGTCAATTTTACAGCAATGGTGGTAATTTAACAATTTGCAATTTTGTTTTTCTGTAGTTTGTTTAAAACTAACCGTAGATAACTAAAATTATTACAAAATACTTGTATAACCTCTTTATAAACATGGTAAAATTTTTAAAACATTTCAATATTTTTTTTTTCAACAATTTATAGGCATTTGATTTTTTTTGTTTTTTTAAGTTTATTTTATTTGCATGTGTTTTTTTAATGTTTGACTAAACAGAAATATTTTAAAATTCTACGTTCATCATACGTTGTCCTTTGGCTGTTAAATGAAATAAGTTGATCGTGATATTGCGGTTTTTTATACACATGTTTAAAGTTCAAATTTTTACGAAAACCATAAAAATCACGGGATTCCAAAACATGATAACTGAAATTCGCTCAAAATTGTATTTCATTGTCAATGATATAGCGTCGTGAATAGACAAACAAATATAAATTGCACAACATTATGTATTCTTTCTTTCCAACTTCCCGCCCACAACAGTAACATATCTATCAGCAACACAAACTCTTTTTTTATTAGTTAAATTACACTAGGAGAGCTGTTTTGTATTTTTGATATCATATGTCCAATTTGCATGATTATTAGGTTTCATAAAGTAGGTGGTGATTAATAAGAATCATCTCAGTGGATATACTTTGACGTGATGAATATTCGTATTTTTTGATATTTTCTTATGTTTCGGAACAATGAAGTACATATATATATTTTATTATTTTAATTTTTAACGTGTACAAAAATCTCATATCAGCCCCGAGAGTCTCGGAGTTCTAATCGTCTTTGTTTAAAAAAAAAAATTACATATTATTACTATGAATTCGGTTAGTCTACTACGGAGTTCGTAGTTTCTGTGCATTGCGTAACTATAATATATTGTACCTACGTATAAATAAATAAAATTGTAAAATACTTATTCCCGTAGGAGCTTACAAGACGACGACAACGTGTCAAACCGTTCGCCGATGAATATTATAACTATACCCGTCTATCATCGTCACAACCACTCTGTATATATTATGCAGGGATGCAGGGATGTGTGTTATATTAGGTTATACAGCCTCGGCGCACGAAACGCATATATAAAAAAAAAAAAGAGGGAAAAATTTTTTTGGCATTTTTTTTTCTGGATATATTTATATAGAAAGATATACATAATCAGCTCAACAAGCACCACTGTACTGAAGTTATTGCCAGTTTCCATTATTATTATATGTACACTTCTTGCAGTATCTAGGCGTATAGAGTCGGACGTTTTTTCCGTCTTCAATTATCCGATTGGTTTGTTGCAGATCTCCATCACGCCTACCATTCGTAACTTAATTCCTTTAAAACCTTGTAACTATCTTTATACATGTCTATCGTAATTCAATAGCAAGCTTTGTAGTGAATAAGAATCATGAATAAATATTGTAAAATATTATATCCTACCCAATAACATTTTAAAAGCTGACTTCAAAAAGGCTAATTTTTAATTGATAGATCAAGGTTTTCTTGTTACTTGACTGAAAATTTATGATAGAATATAATCGCATAATTCATGATTAAATTACTAAGTAATTGTAGTTTTACTTTTTTATGCCTTTAGGGCAGAGGTGTTCTAAGAATTATTTTATTGGGGGGATATGAAAATTTATTAAAAAGTAAGCCGTGGGGTTTCAGCTCTCACACTCTTTTTCTTATATAAAAACAACATAAATTATTTTATTTATAGATTATACTTTTGAGTGTAATATTAAATTAACAAATCTATATCTATTTTTCTTGATTATTGAGATAGTTCAATATCAATTTAATTCAATGTATATCAATTTGTATTGTTTTAATGTATATAACCTTTTGATAATTTGTGGTGAATATTTCACCACCAAAATATTTTATACCGTTACAACAATTTTGATCAAGCTGCTCAGGTAATTTATTTTTGTCTACATCAACTTTTATAATTTTTAAAAATAATTCAATATATAATTGAATTAGTTGAATTATTTCGTTTCATTTTAATGAAATATACGTTACATATTGCAAAATGTCAAAGTAGCTCATTAACAGTTATCACTTATTAAAGTTATCGTTAAAAACGACTGATAACAACAAAAACGCGGGAAAATGTGTAAACACATTCATCATTGTTCGGTGGTAGTATCATGAGATTAATATATTTTGTTTTTTTTTATTTCTGTTACAAATATAATTAGTATCCATATTGAAAATAATAAGCAATAGTTTTGAAATTATGCTATAGTATAATGATACAAATATTTTCGTTCAGCGTTTTGAACTGTTCGGACAAATTATTCAAGGTTATAGATTAAGTTGTTAGATTTTTATACACCGACAGTTTTAAGTTAACACTAATTTTTTTCACAAAAAAATTTGGCGGAAAAAATGAATTATAATACATTGTCTAAGAATAATAATTAAAAACATCATCATCTAATAATATTTAATGTTAAAAAAAAAGATAAGATAAATAAAATACAAACTACGTAATTACACAAATTTAATAAAAAGCAAAATTTCAACACATTATTATTGTACTCCTAAAAAATATTGTATAAATACGACTAACCAAATGGGGGTGCAATAAACGTCCTTCTATCTTTAAAATTTTTACTCTAGTAGATAGCACAGTGTGAACGGTCCAATCATTTTTATGATAATATTATCACTAACAATCTCAGTATTTGTTCATTTAAATAAAATACGCATATTATTACAGTAGGAACAACAAAAGATTAAGTTGGTTAAAAAAATATTTTTTTTTTTTTAAATCCCACAATATCTGCTGAGGATACTGATGACCTAGTTTTATTATGAAAATTTTCCCGGAGCTTTACACTCATTTCCCTATGTTTCCCGTCGACTTTATTTTATTTTTTCGTTTCTTTTATCTGTGCTTTTTCTTATCTGTTTTTGAGCCCCACGGGATCATTTTTATTCTTTATACGGCGAGAAAAGGGAAACTCGAAACTTATTCACCATACCACTGCCCGTAATTGCCAAAGTTCCCGAAACGTGAACGTGTACGCAGGGTATGGTTTTACAGCGTTCTGTAATCATATTCGATTTTTGTTTTTCCATCGCATCGTAAGTCGAATTCCGATTGGCGCGTTAATAAACGATCAAAGAAAATCTTTCGTCACGTCGTAATGCTGTCAGTGAAGAACATCATAACTAGAGATAAGATGTTAATGGCGTTTGCATTTTTCCGCTCTTAATACAGTACAATCATATCTAATATACCTTAAAAACTCATTTTACGTTTCGCAGATTCAGCATTTTTTATAATTTTTAAATATTGTACGTAAATTTGTTTTAAGTATTATATTTCAATGAAAAACTGTACGTTTTTAAAAATATGTGAATTATATTTATCGGAGAAAGTTTCTCAAGTGATAATTTTTACGTTTAGTTTTTTAACTTATTTTGTTTTTATTTCATTTCTTACATTCTTTCTGCTTCTTCCTGAGCGTAAAGTAAAAGCTATTATTTTCTAAAATTACTAGTATTTTCAACTTTTTTTTTTTTTTGAGAGTAAATTGATTGAATTTTTTCAAGCTGTCCGTTAAAATATGCTAAATTTCTGGCCGGTAGTCCTTTTGTTTTAATTATTATTAAAATGTTTGATAATTAACTCTTTAGTTCTTTGTCATTGGTTTACTAATTTTTTAGCTTACCTTAAAAGTACTGAAAAAAACATGATTAATTCTTTTTTGATCAATTTCGTTTTCCGTATGTAATGATTTGTCATTGCATTCTGTGTACGAACTTAACTACCAAATACAACCTTTACCTTGAACACTTGCCCAGTGTCCGCTTGTAAAACAAACCTACTAAAAAAAAAAAAAAAAACGAATAATCTGTAAAACCGAATGAATTTTATTCCAGTACGAAAACGAAAATAACAATAATAATTTTAAACATAAACCACGACGGTTTACGTTTATTGATTTGTTCGTAATTCTTATATTTTCTATAATAGCAATAATACGAACAGTTTAATAAAATATTTTTATAGGATTGCATAAAAAAATTTGAAAAAGCGTACAGCCATATTTTAACGTCTCGGAGACGTTATAAAATCCCTGGCTCTGGAATGTTGTTGTATTTATTTACCTATGTAATTATTTTAATTGTGCACATTTTCATTTTACCTAACGCGCAGGTATGTTTCATTTTAATACCTCCCGTAGTTAATGTTACGAAGGTATACAATGCGAAATCCGTAAAAAAAAAAATATAATAATAATAACTTTATGACGTTACGCCAAGCAATTGCAGTAATGTAAAAGTTTAGAAAACAATAATTGTTTTGTCGTAATTACAAAAACCAAAAGCCTGGCATATTTCGCACTGTTGCAGACGGGAATGTACATTATAATATACAAAGAGATTTATTTTATGTACTGATAGCAACGATAAATCATTAAAATCAAAAAACTAATGAGGTTTTATAGTAATAGTCTCGTTTTTCTTCATTTCGCCAATGAATTTAAGAAAAATACGAATATAAAACCGACGAATTATCGTTTGTTGCCAGTTTATTTTAACTTTCGGGAACACTGCTAGGAATATAAAAACATGTTTCGATTAAAGCGGCACTGTCGAAAAATTCATATCTTTTCATCACTTTTACTGTTGTGGACGTGAATATACGTAAAGAAAAAATACTAAACCGCATCACCCGCGTGCTACGGACGTGTATTCGTATACATGTTCTGGTCAATTAAAATGTAAAATGTTCATTGATATTGAACCGGATTAATTAAATTCTCTATCAAACGAAAGAAAAAGCGAACTCTCATCACTAATTATCAAAAAGTCATGAGCATTTAAATTTATGGCGTTATTCAGTGTTTCCTAAAATGATAATCGTAACTATGTATTTTGTTTTAATTATAATTATTATATCATAGATTATTATACGAAAACACCTAATGAATGTCAACGTTTAACATTATTAACAATAGTTATCGATTTAATAAAAATCAACTTTGTATACGCTCTAAGAGAATAGTTTAGGAAATCATGTGCGTGAATTGCGTATGCTCATTTACTTGGTGAAGTTTGGACAGAAATTTATTTTAAACACTTTTCGGAATTCGTAAATACTATAGATATATATCACGAGGGTTTAAAAACATGTTAAATGATTTACGAAAAATAGCCAGCACAAAAAGCACACACCGTGCTTTCGATTTTTCTGTTCAACAGGGAAAAGGTTAAGGAATACGGCGCGAGTTTTTTCCGGGATGAAAAAAAAAAAAAACGTTAATTAGGGAGTAAACTGTTAAGAGATTTCGAGTAAAGTACCGCCCAGAGGAAAATTCTTTGTTATTATAATCTACCAAATGTATCAATACAAAATATCTATGTGGTATTATATTATTATATAATACGCTAAGATATTCTAATATATCGAATTACATCGTAATACAACATGTCTTACTATGTAGAAACCTAGGTATAAAAAATTAAACAATACAATTTCCAGTCAATTATAATAATTTGACATTATTCGATTTTCATAATGTATTATATTATATAAAAATAATAATAATAATAATAATAATAATAATCAAAATACCGCTGTAAAATACAATATTTCGTGACTTTACGCGAGTTTTAATTTATGTTAAATACATAGTGAAATAACGGAAATAAAATATATATACATCAATGATACATTTTCTATACTATATTATGCTTTAATAATTACTGCCGTTTTATACTCGTTAGGTACTCAAACGTACCTAGGTATAACTATATTATAATATAATTTATAATAAATAAATATTGTAATATATCACGCTATACTAAAACTATAAATTATAATTTACATAAACGTACAAACTAATTACAGCCTAAGGTTCATGAATTCTTGGTTATTTTTTATTTCTATCAACCACCGTGGTATTGACTTTTTTTAAAAATTACGACCACAATGATTATTATTATATTTCACTCATATAAATATGAAGAGCGTTGGATACGGTTTTCCAAATTTTTATTTTTGTAGAATTTAAAAATTATTTTTACCTTATGCCTATGTAGCCTACATTTCCCCTTATCTACCGCCCGATAACCGTTTAACAGGAAAGGGTATGGTAGTTTTTACGGCGTTTTAGACCAAGCCTAAGCCGAAGCCTAAGCTTTAGACTAAGCCGAAATAAAATATTCACTCATTAACGCTCGCTAAATTTTAATTTTGAAAACATATTGAAACTCTTTGATTTCTTGTCTTTGTTTTCTAGGAAACATTTGTCAGTTAATTTAGTTGAACAGCATTGAAGAGTTTACTTTTTTTTTCTAAGAATAATCTCATTTTACTTCAAGTACTTAAGTGTTATGAAAAATGTTTTTTTTTTACAAAATA